ACAATCCCACCAACAGTGTAAAAGTGTATTTCTCCACATCCTCTCCAGCACCTGTTGTTTCCTGACTTTTTAATGATTGCCATTCTAACTGGTGTGAGATGGTAGCTCACTGTGGTTTTGATTTGCATTTCTCTGATGGCCAGTGATGACGAGCATTTTTTCATGTGTCTGTTGGCTGTATGAATGTCTTCTTTTGAGAAGTGTCTGTTCATATCCTTCACCCACTTTTTGATGGAGTTGTTTGTTTTTTTCTTGTAAATTTGTTTGAGTTCTTTGTAGGTTCTGGATATTAGCCCTTTGTCAGATGAGTAGATTGCAAAAATGTTCTCCCATTCTTTAGGTTGCCTGTTCACTCTGATGGTAGTTTCTTTTGCTGTGCAGAAGCTCTTTAGTTTAATTAGATCCCATTTGTCAATTTTGGCTTTTGTTACCATTGCTTTTGGTGTTTTAGACATGAAGTCCTTGCCCATGCCTATGTCCTGAATGGTACTACCTAGGTTTTCTTCTAGGATTTTTATGATATTAGGTCTAACATTTAAGTCTCTAATCCATCTTGAATTAATTTTCATATAAGGAGTAAGGAAAGGATCCAGTTTCAGCTTTCTACTTATGGCTAGCCAATTTTCCCAGCACCATTTATTAAATAGGGAATCCTTTCCCCATTTCTTGTTTTTGTCAGGTTTGTCAAAAATCGGATGGCTGTAGATGTGTGGTATTATTTCTGAGGGCTCTGTTCTGTTCCATTGGTCTGTATCTCTGTTTTGGTACCAGTACCATGCTGTTTTGGTTACTATAGCCTTGTAGTATAGTTTGAAGTCAGGTAGCGTGCTGCCTCCAGCTTTGTTCTTTTGACTTAGGATTGTCTTGGCAATGCGGGCTCTTTTTTGATCCCATATGAACTTTAAAGCAGTTTTTTCCAATTCTATGAAGAAAGTCATTGGTAGCTTAATGGGGATGGCATTGAATCTATAAATTACCTTGGGCAGTATGGCCATTTTCATGATATTGATTCTTCCTATCCATGAGCATGGAATGTTCTTCCATTTGTTTGTGTCCTCTTTTATTTCACTGAGCAGTGGTTTGTAGTTCTCCTTGAAGAGGTCCTTTACATCCCTTGTAAGTTGGATTCCTAGGTATTTTATTCTCTTTGAAGCAATTGTGAATGGAAGTTCATTCATGATTTGGCTCTCTGTTTGTCTGTTACTGGTGTGTAAGAATGCTTGTGATTTTTGCACATTGATTTTGTATCCTGAGACTTTGCTGAAGTTGCTTATCAGCTTAAGGAGATTATGGGCTGAGATGATGGGGTTTTCTAAATATACAATCATGTCATCTGCAAACAGGGACATTTTGACTTCTTCTTTTCCTAACTGAATACCCTTTATTTCTTTCTCTTGCCTGATTGCCTTAGCCAGAACTTCCAACACTATGTTGAATAGGAGTGGTGAGAGAGGGCATCCCTGTCTTGTGCCAGTTTTCAAAGGCAATGGGAAGACATAAAATTCTAATAAAATAACCACAACATAGTTGAAGTAAAAGCTGTTAAAAGTATGAGGAATTAAAGACAAGTCCACCATCATGGTGAAAAGGTAATACATATCAATTTTAGTAATGAACAGATCAAACAGATAAAGTCAATAAACATGTAGAATATTTGAATACTATAATTAAATTTGATAAAATGAAAATGTTTATAATTAACTCTAAAATCCACATTCTTTTATACACATGTAGATAATTTATGAAAAATGATCACCTTTTAGGCTACCAAGCAAGTCTTAACAAATTTCAAAGGATTTTGACAACATATAGAGCATGCTATCTGACTACAAAATGTTTTTATTCTGTGTTTCTACTAAAAAAAGTAGACAAAATCATATGTGTAGAACTTTAAAAGCCATATTTACTAAATAATCCATGAGTTAAAATGGAATCATAATACAAATAAAATTATCTGTGTAACTAAACCTTAATGAAAATATCAGAATTTGTGAGATGCAGCTAAACTAGGATTTGAAAGTTAATTTAAATTCATGTATTTGCACTTGAGGAAAAAAGGCTGAAAACTAATGATGTCAGCATCCCATTTTAGAAATAAAAAAAGAACAATAGAATAAACTCAAAGGCAGTAGATATATAAATTGAAAACAAAGAGAATCAACAAGGCCAAATGAGGGCTCTTTGTAAATATTAATTAGATTGACAAAACTGTGGTAAGAGGAATAAGAAAAAAAAATGCCAAATAAAATATGTAGATAACTAAAGAAGGGTCAGAGATTTAAAAGATAATGAAAAATATTATGAACCAACTTTATGACAAAAGAAGTTAAAAGTTAGATGAAGTGCAAAAATTGCTAAAAATATATTGACTCAAGAAGAAATGGAAAATTAGTATAGTCTTAGAAGCATTAATCTGTAGTTCAAAAATCTTCCCCTTAAAGAAAGCAAGATGCCTCGATGGTTTTACAGGTAAATTCTTGCTAACACTCAAGGAACAGATGATTTCAACCTTACATAAACATTTCCAAAAAATATGAAAATGGGAGCACTTCTTACTCTTTTAAAGAGGCAAGTATAACTTTGATGCCAAATCAGAAAAGGAAATAAAATGAAAGACAAATTACAGGCCAGTTTTACTCTTGAATATAAAGACAGAAATTCTTTGGAAAATATTGGCAAACTGAATTTAACACACATAAGAAATAGCATATCTCATTATCTAATTTGGTCTATGATAGTTATGAAAGTTTGGTTTAACATTAGAAAATTGATTAGTATAATTCACTACAATAATGGAAGAAAGAGCAAAACAATATGATTATTTCTATGGATGTAGAAAAGAAACTACTTGATAAAATTTAACATCCATTCATGATTTAAAAATAAAAAGTCTTTAGCAAATAAGAAATAGACTTTAAGTTTCTCTATCTGATAAAAACTACAAAAAAGTTTTCAGCAAATATTATTCTTTATGGCAAAGAAAGGGAAGAAGAAAGTATGCATGCAGTTATTACTTTTTTGTATACTGTCCATGATGACCTAGCCGTTGCAGTAAGGCAATTTAAAGACACCACATGCGTAACAATTAGAAAGGAAGGGAAAAATTTTAGGGTTGTCTTCATAGTAAACTCAAAGAAAGATACAGATAGATCAATTATTAGAATTAAGAAGATATATTAGCAAGGTTGCTAGATAGGGAATCAACATAAAATAACTGCTATTCTATATATCAGTGACAAACAGAAAAATAAACCAATTTTAAAACATAACATTGAGAAATATCAAGTAGCTAAGAATAAAGCTATCATAATATATGCAATAATTAGGGAGAAAACGAAATCTTTATTTAAAAAACCCTAAATTAATGAAGAGATATATTGTATGGCTCAGAGCACTTAACATTGTAAAATATCTCTCCAAATTGATCGATAGATTCAGCCTGATTCCTGTGAAGTGTGAAGGGTTTTCTTTTGTTGTTGTTGCTGTTGCTGCTGTTTTCTTCCCTCCACCCCCGTGGAACTTGACAGCCTACAGCTAGTTCTAAAGTGAATGTGGAAGTTCACAGAGCCAAGAATAGCAAGAGCATTCTTAAAAAGGAAGGTGGGGGACTAGCTCTATAAAAGATCAGCATTTACTATAAAGCTATAGAAATGAAGACAATGTGATATTGGCACAGAGATAAACAATATGATGTTGAAACAGGAAGAGAACCCTGGAATAGAGAAGCACACATATGAACACTAGACATATGACAGAGGTAGTATTGAAGTTCAGTGGGTAAAGGGTGGATTTTTTTATTACTTGGTACTGGGATATTTGGTTATCTAAATGGTTAGAAATGAAGCTGGAGTCCTTCCTCACACCAAATAATGAACCAATTCCAGATGGTCTAAATGTAAAAATGAAAGATAACACTATAAACATTTGTAAGACAAAATAGGAGACTATGTCTGTTCTCCCACAGAGATATTCCCAGAGATTGAGAACAGTTTCCTGAAACATAAATGAAAAGATTGATAAATTCCACAACATTAAAACTCAGAATTTCCATTTATTGAGAGAGAGAAAGAGAGAAATTGAGAGAAAATAAAGACAAGCCACAGCAGGGAAGATGGCTGCTGCACAAATAATCAACATGGCATGCTTACCCAGAACACATAAAGAAATTTCATGATTAAGTAAGACAAAGACAACCAAATAAAACAAAAATTTCACAGAAAAGGAAACATAAGTGGCCTATACACATGTGAAAGTTATTTAAAAATAAAATCAATTCTTGGAGTGGTTGAGGAGCAGTGGGCCGTCTTATCCCCTGCTGCTTTGTGTGTAAATTGCTTCCACCACTTTGAGAAACAGACATGGTATAGTAAATAATAAAAAGTACACAATCAAAGATTCAGCAATTTCACTTCTAAGACATATACTCTGGAAAAAATGTTTACAAATGTGTACCAACAGAGGTGTATAACAAACATAGCAGTGATAGTACAACACTGGAATTAATTGCATTATATCCATGCACTGGAATATTATACTACAGTAAAAATGAATTAATTACAACTGCATGTAACATAAATGTAATGTGTAGCCAAAAATGCAAACAGCAGGAGAATAAACATAGTATAATTCCATTTGGGTAAATTTCAAAACATGGAAAATGAAACAATATGTTTTTTGGGGAATCTATCAAATGAGGTAACATTTTCAAAAAGAGACAGAACGATGCTGCTTTTTACTAAAGGGTATGACAGAGGATGGGGCCTAAGGGGATCCAAAGATGGCTAAATCTGCTGGGTAGAGAGTACCTGAGTGTTTTGTCTTTTTGTCTCCTCTACCTAGGCATACAAGTGTTCATCTGGAAGTGTTTAATAATTAATAAAAACTATTTTAGAATAAATGAATAAAATATCTACCACATCCAACAGCCCTGCCTACAGGTAAACACATGGGAGTTTATGAGATTAAATGACTTGCTTGGTTTCCTTGTTTGGTTATTTCAGAGCCAGTTGGAGCATGAAGCTTCAGAATCGCCTTCCAACTCTCTGTGCACTGCACCAGCTGCTTCCCATAGACTCCTGGTAAAATATGTAAGTATTAAAATGTTTTCATACACCTAAGTGGGTACACAATTCCAACCTACTGAAGCAGCCTCTTTTTCCAAGCATTTTCCTTTCTGTTTCTCCCTTATCAGAATGTAAGGTAGAACTAACACTCCCTACTATGAATTTCTAAAATTCATTTGATAAAGTACCTTGAGCTGTTCAGGTCAAAGGCAAATGTGGACTAGAACTTTACAAAACCTTGTCATGATAATACAGGAAAAAAATAATACTATTTTGTGTCATTCAAATTCTGGGTAGCTTTAATCAATCATTCAATATGTTTGTCATAAGCACCTAGTAACTAATCAGCAATCCGATAGACAACATGCTTATTATCCTCAAGGACCTCAAAGCCTATGTAGGGAAACAGAACAAATACACAGGAAAGAGAGAAGGATCGTGTATAAGCTAAACTGAAATACTAGTATCTAATATCTGCAATTAGATTATGGAAAAGGGAGGTGTCATCCATCTCCAATAGATCAGACTCCCATTGAAGACCAGGAGAGGATAAAGATAAGTATATGGGGGTAGAAAGAATTACTTCTTGACGTTTGTTAATGGTATCAAAAGTAATGAATTTGAAGTTTACCCAGTAAGCACATCAGTTTTTGTAGATGTTTATTTCTCACAAGCCCCAAGCTGACCTCTATTGAATGGTATACTAGGTAGATGGTTAGATTGTGGTCCTTTGTGTGCTGAGGATGGCTTTGTTTTACACCCTGATGACTTATGTCCTTGTTGGCCCTAGAATTGTCAATTACTACTTCCTCATTCTTTGCTTTGTGGCTTACAAGAGAGCGGAAGGAAGAAGAGCCACCACCCATAACATCAATGGCTGCTAACTGAGGAGTGTTTTAACATGCTGCTACAGCCTATCCTCAGCTTTCCAGAAGGTGGAATCTTGTGACAGTGGAAAGACAGTAGAAGAGAGGAAGGTATGCCAGTAACCAGCGATGCCCAGCTGGCTCTACTAGGATTACGTACAGCCTGTATTTGTTCTGATTGGTGAGTGTTTGTGCCATGGTTGGTATTATTTGAAAACCATTTCTGGCTACACACCAGTTGTAAAAAATAAGCCACACTGTTGCCTTTTCTAGAATAATATAAGATAACAAATTTGTTATTAAGCTAGAAAATGAAAGTAAAAAAAATATGAGCACTGGTAAATCTTACTGTTTATAACAATTCAATTGAGCCATTTACATCTTGTTTTATTAAAAAATATGCAACCAAAAATAGAAGTACTCAATCTATTGGAAAAATGTTAATATGATTTTTTTTTCTTACTTGTTTAATTAAGGCCTAACCTTATGGCAGAGTTTCTCAAGCTCAACACTGTGGGCATTTGGAGCTTGGGATAATTTCTTTGTTGTCGGGGGCTTTTGTGTATTGTAGGATGTTCAGTAGCACCCCTGGCTTTTATCCCCCAGATACCAGTAACACCCCTACTCCCAGTTGTGAGAACCAAAAAGGTCTCCAGACTTTGTCAAATGTCCTCTATGGAACAAAATCACCCCGCTAGGGAACCACTGCCTAAGACATTCCACTGTGATTTTCAAGTAGAACCTGCCACAGACATTTTATTCACGTGGTGTCAGTGGAGTCAATCACCTGTCTACACGCCTCATACTTAATGAAACACAGCTTTCATTTAAGCCATCTATCAAAAAAAAAATTCTTAAGTGTTTTCTATTTATTTCTTAAGTTTATGGTCTTGAGTTTATGCTCAGCTGCCACTGAGCCCTTTATTTATAATTGTAAGTTGGGAAACTCACCTGAAGTGGAGAGAAATGGTAGGGGTATCTACCTTGTGTTGGAGATAGGTTTAATGTGGGTCATGAATCCTGAGAACCAGATTTGAGATGATGTTGTCCTACAAGAGTCCCAGATCACTGCCATCCCAGCTTCCAGGAAACTTGATATAAATTTCTCAGTAGCTATACAAGAAAACAACTGCAATAAATTGCTTATTAATGTCTACCATATGCCAAACCTTTGAAGAATCACTTGGTTCCTCAAAAGCAGTTAGGATTCTTGTTGCAAGCAATAGAACACTCAAGTGGTTTAAGCCATAGGGAATTCATTAGCTCATGTAATTGTGAAGTCCAAAAGTAGGGTGAGTTGGTTTGTTCTCAAGGCTCATGCTGTCATCGGGCCGTGGCTCGGTTTCCCTGTGGTTCTCTTAGTTTTGCCCTCCTCTAGGTGACTGCGTCATCCTCAAGCTGGTAGCCAAATCTCTGCCATCAGTTCCTGGGGCCACATGTGTCCCCAGCCATAGGTTCTCTTTCCTCCATTTGCAGAACAAAAGCCCACTTAGGACACAGGTTGAACCCACCTAAGACACAGGTTCTGCCCCTGGATCAATCACTACCATGATGGTGATGTTTTGCTCTGACCTGTCCAGGCTGGTCGCATGTGCCCATTTCTGAACCGGTCACTGTGGATGAGGGGCACTTAGGCAGAACCAAACGAGTCCTGATGTTGGAGCAGGGGGTGGGGACAATCTCATCCAGACCATATGACATCTCCATAGAGGGTGAATTAAGTAAGTGCTGGGGTGTCAATCACGATACCCACCACCCCACAGTGGCGTGTTGAAAATGCTGTAGCACATGGTGTTGAAAGTACTATAGCACATGGGGGAGCAGCAACTTAAAAGATTAAAAGAGCTGCCACACTGTGGTGGGATGGGAGGTGGCACAACCCTCTCTAAGCTTCAGTAACTCTTAGCAAAGGGTCTGTATTGGGGCTGGAAGCAGGGGCTGGAGCGCCTAGCCCAGGAAGACAGACACTGGACAGAATAGGAATGTGATTTTAGTCTCTGCTGCCTCCGGGCTGTTTGTCCTCACACCGTTTCCTCATCCTTCTCCAGCTCTACTCTGTGCCACAGTGGGACACATGGCCCCAGACTGCATTTCCCAGGCTCTCAGGTCAGTTGACCTCTTAGCTGGATCTGACCCATGGGAGGCACTCACAGGAATTAGGAGGGTAGAGGAAAGGGCGAGACTGAGGCATTTGTCCCACCCCTGTGCCTCAGGCAGCATCTCCAGCAGTGATCGTGTCTCTTCTGAGTCCATGACTCCAAATCCTACTGGACAGATCTGGTATGCTTCCAAAATCCTCCCAGAATCCCTGGTCTATGGGTCCTCACACAACTTCATCTTCCCTCTGTCCCTCCAACCAAGGTGTGGTAACAGTTCCCTGCAGTTGCCAATCTCTGGGGGGCACCGCCATCCCCTGTTTGGCTTCTCAGCCTTTCCAGTCACATCCACTCCCCACACCACCAATTCCCAGCACTAAACTTCCTCTAGTTTAAATACTTAGAGTAGTTTCTCTTTCCCTGGTTGTTCCTAACCCAACACTTACATTTTTTCTCAGTGTAGTGTGGCCTGGAGAAGCAAGAGTTACATGTTGAACTACATTAAGCTGAGACCTCCAGGGTGTTACTGACCCAACCTCTACACTTCAGTAAGCAGCTCTCTATTGGAAATTAAAATGCGTCTTCTTTAGTTTTTCCTCCCATCTCTAGAGTCAGGGATTGAGGGGACGGTGTCCTTGGGGATGAGGTATTGTGATTGTCAATAGCAGTAATGACAACTGATGGAATGTTTAGGTTTGATTTACAAGGAATGCTGGATTTGCATTAGTGTGGTGGGTTTAAAATAACATGCATGCATTAGATGATATTCAGATTTAATGGAAAAATAATGACTGCATTAAATCAGGTTTTATTGTTATGGAGGGTTTTAATTTGGCAGGACCACTTTCCTTTTGTGATCTAGAAAGGGCTGAATTGAGGAAGGTGGAGCCTTCACGCTGGTTCTTGACCTATATCCATTTTTTACTTACTCAGAAATGATTGCACCTTTTAAACAGGTTAACCTTTTTCTTTCCGTTTTTTTCCCCTTAGAAGATGGTTTTTACTTTTTAAAACCTCACAGATTAATTTAAAAGTAATAAAAATTAAACAGAAGTCATTGTTCTTCCTTGCTTTATGAAATGGAGTTTCCATTGTGGTTTTTTAAAGAGGAAATGCATCATTAAAGTCGTTGCATTATTTATCAGAGAAGCTAATGAAATCATAACTACAGTAACTGAACACACGCAGCACAGCACTTGTTTGAAACACTGCCTATAAAACGCCAGTTAATCACTGTAGGACCAGTGCTTTTTATACTTCATCTCTTGAAATAAAAATCATTGCAGTGTTTGTGTAAAGGCCTCCAAATTCTTGACTTTTACCAAGTTTCTACAGTTACAGTTATGGGGTGACTATGAAATTTGGTCAGAATTTGCTAGTAGAGGCAGGCTCAACCATAGATTTTAATGGGACTTCAAAAGATTTTTAAAAGATTGCCTCCCGTCTTGCTTGTCTCTTGTTTCAATGTTACCTGTTAATTTATTAATCTTTCCACCTGCCTAGGTCAGCTGTTTTTACAGGGATAAAAGCTATCACTGTAGAGAGAGAAGAAACCATGCCAATACGTAGTACAGTCCATGATTTTACAAAGGGGGAAGTTGAAGTCAAGGATGTAAGTGACTTGCTAAGAGCAGGCAAGGCCCAGATCCTTCCTAGTTGCCTCACTACCTACCTTGTGGCAGCTTGGAAACCAAGGGGGCTGAGTTTGGAGGCTCTGAAAAGATCTCAGAGTCCCAGGCTAATAAAAACCTCATGAGGTGATCTGTTCCAGGGAGAGCCTGCTCCTGGGACAGCTGCAAAGCTGCCAGCTCTGTCTTCCATGCCAACATCCCATTGTATCTACCACCCCTCCTGATCCATGTCCCTGCATCTGTAGTTTGCTCTCTCTTCAATCTTTGTCTCTTTTCCCCAACCTCTCCTCCCATTGAGGAGCCTGACACCTGGCAAGTGGACTTTCTTTTTTTTTTTTTTTTTTTTTGAGATGGAGTTTCTGTCTTGTTGCGCAGGCTGGAGTGCAATGGTGCGATCTCGGCTCACTGCAACCTCCGCCTCCTGGGTTCGAGCGATTCTCCTGCCTCAGCCTCCCAAGTAGCTGGGATTACAGGCATGCGCCACCACGCCTGGCTAATTTTGTATTTTTAGTAGAGATGGGTTTCTCCATGTTGGTCAGGCTAGTCTCGAACTCCTGACCTCAGATGATCCATCCACCTCGGCCTCCCAACGTGCTGGGATTACAGGTGTGAGCCACCGTGCCTGGCCTGGCAGGTGGACATTTATGGGCATGAGAGAAAATCTGCATCACCAGACTTATGGGAAGACCCCTTAGGCATTTACTGGAGGATTCTGTAGTATCCCATTGAGGCTATCCAAGGGCCAGGGCTGTGGAGTGACCTGGAATTTCGGTGTCTTCCATCTAGTATTAGTGGTGGCTTTATAGAGATGACAAAGAAAGATCAAGCCACTGATGTTTTGACATGATCAGAATATTAGGCTAAAATACACCAAATCTTACATAGACTTGTAGACTTCATTTAGTCCATTTTAATTCTGCTTACTCTTATAGTTAATTTCTGACTTTTGGGACTGTACACCTAGCAACTTCCTCCATCCTGTCTCTCTTCTTCTCACCTTCCTGGAAACTGCTTCATGTCGTGACTGAGAGAGGGGTCTCCGTATGACACCAGCCATCCACCCCAGAGCTCCGGTTGATTGGTCCTGGGAGAGACACCTGACTAAGTCACATCAAGGAGGACCTTCCTGGATCAGTCATTTTATGATCAGTTTCTACAGATGATGAATAAACTGTAGGCCTAACATTCGGAAGCTGTTGCAGACAACGTCTAGCAAGTCAACAAAAAGAGAAAGAACGCAGCTGATAGGTGGAGAAAAAGTGAGCTGAGAGTTGGTCAGCATGTGCTTGGTTCTCTTTGCTACTGAAGCACAGCTGCACACACCCTACCTTCAATGCAGCCTGAGCAGGTGACTTTCTCTATGAGTCAATCATTTCCTCTTAAACTCCAGATCTAATTGTGTATCTGACGCTGCAACCACGGACAGCCCATTGATTGACTGATCTCTTTCTTCA